CGCTCAAAGCAGCTTGACTTTACACTGTGTGGGATTGGTGGATTCGTGTGTCCGTCAAGGAAATCTCGGCCGGCAGCCATCATGGTCTGAAATGACCAATGAACATCGAGAAATCACTAAGGACCTACCCACCAAGTAAACAAAAGATAAACCACGTGTCTCCCATCAGTGTACGTCTGTGAGGAGAGAGAGAGAGAGACAGAGAAAATGGCTAAAAAAAACTTTACAGTTGCCGACTACGCTAGAGATTTTTTTCGCTAGCAGCAGTGAATATAGAGCCTCAGAACCTGAAGTCTTCGACTCTTCTGAAGAAGAAGAATACAAAGACAACAACAAGGATCCATTTGGACATGGGTAAGTGTAAATATTACAGTAATAGTGTACTGGCAATGTGTGGGGAATACCGCGAAAATGAACAATATATATATTGATATATATTTTTTATCGATTGGACAAAATAGACTCCATTAGCAAACGTTTACTCTGTGTTAACGTTATTTTGGTGTGTAAAAGTGAGATTACATGTGTAGATGATTAAATTAATCATTTATTCGTCCCACAACGGAGACATTTACAGTGACATGTTTTTGCCATCGATTATTTTATCATACTGTTCTGTACAGATGAGACTTTGTCATAGATTTATTTATATGTGTGCCTGTTATTATTTTACCGTCCTGTACAGATGAGACTTTGTAATCAGATGTAGCCTATCTATATATGTGTGTCTGTGATTTTATACTGAATGTAAAGTGTGTGTGTGTGTGTGTGTGTGTGTGTGTGTGTGTGTGTGTGTGTGTGTGTGTGTGTGTGTGTGTGTGTGTGTGTGTGTGTGTGTGTGTGTGTGTGTGTGTGTGTGTGTGTGTGTGTGTGTGTGTGTGTGTGTGTGTGTGTGTGTGTGTGTGTGTGTGTGATATCGAGAGAGATTCCTTCTCCAACCTCCCAAACTTTCTTTGTATGTGTGCATTGTTATTTGTGCTTGAGCAACATTTTACTTGAACTTTATTTCAATGAAATTAGTTGGAATTATTGTCCTACATTTTAATTTGTTTTACAGAGATGTTTCACAGCTGTCTGGGCCTAGTGGCCCACAGGCGGCGTTTATCCAGCAGCCAGAACATCCATCTGTGCCTGCCCCCAGGTCAAGATCTACTGTGGCTCAAGGGCCTTCACAAGAGCCATCACCACCAAGGACCAGCAGACCAGCATCACTACAGCTGCCTCCACCTCCATCTGCGGCTGCCACCAGGTCAAGATACACCTCAGCACAAAGGCTCCACCACAGCCATCACCTTCAACCCAGCCTGCAAGGAGGTCTCGTGGAGGTCTCGTATAGCACTTGTACACCCCACCTACACAGCAGCCCATGCACCATCACCCCCATCTTCACAGCAGCCAGACCCACTGTCTTGGAAGACATACAAAGACCTTGACACTGTCTTGACATTTATAATGAATAGTTAGATTTTCCAGTTTCTTATATTTATATAAATAGTTGGTTGAAAAAAAAGGTTGAATGCTCAATTTGTATTTGTTCACATCACATGAACCTTGGTATGTAATATGAAGTCATTATTCAGTCCTGATGTATCTCAGTCCCTGCTGTGGTGAAAGTAGAGTGATAAACACCTATTTTACTCAAATTTTTTTTTAATTTTTTTTAATTTGAGACATGAATAACACATTTATATACAGTGTCATTCAAATATTTCACTGCGTTTGTGATCCTAAGACTTTGGTAACCAAATCTAAAACACCAAAACAATTCGATCACATGAGTAAATTTGTGTTTTCACAAAAGTTTTGAAGATTTTCCGAAAATCGGATTTCAAATTTTAAGCTTTTGAGCTACTTATCTCATCAAACAGTGCTCTAAGGTGAGTCATTTGCATATATAGCAATACCAGAGATTGTCCTGAACATTTTGATATGTAACACACGGGGTGCCATGTTAGAATAAATACATTTAAAAGGTGATTTAAGAAAACATCTAAAAATCGAGAAAATACCCTTAGACTCCAGAGGGTTAACCAGAGCTGTCTCTGTGCTATGATGTGTTCTAAAGCCAGACTGAAAATCTTCAAATAAATCATTGTTTTTTAAGTAATCACACAGCTGTTTTGCGACTGCTTTCTCAAGAATTTTTGAGAGGAACGGAAGATTAGAAATAGGTCTATAGTTGGCTAAAACCTCTGGATCGAGGTTGTGCTTTTTAAGAAGCGGTTTTATCACTGCTACTTTGAATGATTGTGGAACATAGCCTGATAATAAAGACATATTCATAATATTTAATAAAGAAGTGCTAATTAATGGAAACACTTCCTTCAACAGCTTAGTTGGAATTGGTTCTAAGATACACGTTGATGGTTTGGAAGAGAGAATCATTGAATTTAATTGTTCAAGGTTTATGGCTGAAAAGCATTCTAGTTTACTATCTAGTGTAATATTAGAACTTACGTTTCCGGGAGCTGTTGATAACACTATACTGGTCAAAGGCAAGAGGTCATTAATTTTGTTTCTAAGAGTAACAATTGTATCGTTAAAAAAGCACATAAAATCATTACTACTGAGTGCTATGGGAATAGAAGGCTCAATCGAGCTGTGGCTCTCTGTCAGCCTGGCTACAGTGCTGAAAAGAAATCTTGTATTATTCTTATTCTCATCTATTAATGAAGAGTAGTAGGCTGCTCTTGCTTTACGCAGTGCTTTCTTATATTCATTGAGAGTAATATGCCAAATTAAAAGAGATTCTTCATCGATCTGATTCATTATTAGCGGAGCAAATGATCAAAATACTACGGAGGGAAGATATTTTCGTTTGGATTACTGGTCTGGGGGAAGCTCGCGAGTGTGTGTGTGTGTTTGTGTAATTTTGCGTTTGTGTGTATTGTAGTGCTGTAGCGACGCGTCGACGATGTCGACGCGTCGACTTCAAAATATCGTCGACGACATATTTCCGCGTCGACGCGTCGCTACACACACGTGGGTCACCCAAAGCAACAAGCAGTTCGCAATCGCACTTCAAACACAATGGAGACTGAAACGGCTACCACCTCCTCCTCACAGGATTGCGCACAAAGCCCCCAAACGAAAACATCTCGCCCTAGGTCTTCAAAAGCATGGGAATATTTTAAAGTTAGTCCAAAACACAAAGATATTTATATATTTATATCTCACTGAGACTGCTGCATAGCCTAGCAGAAGCAGCAGCTAGCTGTGGTGGCTACCATTAGCAGCTAGCATTTGCTCTCCGATTTTTACATAAAATGGAATTATGGATTATAAATTCAATCATTTTTTTATACATAGACGTTAAAAACCTATGGATTAACCGATTCAGCCACATTTTTTCTCATTTTATTGCCATTGAACACGTCTTTTGATCACATTACGGTGGTGAGACGATCTCCCGAGAAGCTCTGTGAAGGTACGTGTTGTGATGACTGTATTTGCTTCCCCTGTCGCGAGTCCGGATCACTCAGTGATGATACTATATACCTACATAATCTGTGGAGTCTCAGCTTTAATCGGATATATTGTATGTGCAGCTACGATAAGTAATAAGGGTACTTTTATCTTGAGTTCTGTGCCAAAGTCCGTTAGCATTTTTCGCTCAGGGGTCATTTAGATGCTTCTTATGAGACTTGTGTTTTGTTTTGGTAAACATGGTTTGTATCGTCAGTTAGCTGAGATTATTTCCGTTAATCTGGTATAACACATTAATAGGTTCTTAAATATTAAGATCCCCTGAGACACAGTATCGTGAAAAATTTTTTTTTTACATCACGTTTTTTTTTAATTGAACAACAGAAAAATAATCGTTAGATTAGTCGACTAATCGATCAAATAATCGCCCGATTAATCGTTTTCAAAATAATCGTTTCCCCCCAGCACTAGTGTATTGTGTTTGTTTCCCGGGGAAAACCCTCAGGAGAAACACTGGCTGTTGTTATGCCTACTTTGGCGTTAAATCACTCCGTTCTCCGCTTGTAATTATGTCGTTACAAGCTTCATAGTTGTATTTATCATCTGAATTTGCCGAAACAAGTTTAATATTCTGAAAGCCAAGACTTTGTTTAATTAAAATCAGATTAAAACAAACTGCCGTGTTATCTATGATTACTATACGCCTTACCAGTGGCGAGCCGTCAAGGCCTTCTAGGCCCTCTGTGAGGGCTTAAGATATTCTAAAAAATAATATTTGAAAACATTAAAAAAAAAACATTTGTTTTTAAATATTATTATTATTTTAATTGTTTTGTTACATTTTTCATTAGTTTTACCAAAATAACTTGATTTAATTGTATTTAAAATAATATTTCCAAAGAAATAAATCCTTCGAATCTGCCTGTTCAGTTTATGTTGGAATGTGAAATGCAGTCTCTGTGAGTTATGTGAAGACGGGAGAGCTTGTTGGTCCCTCTCTACATTCACAGAGGGCCAGCTATAGTAACTCAACGAGAGAGTAATGTCAAATGACGGTACAATTGACCAATCATATCTTCCCTCTAAATGGGTGGGCTTTATTTTCCCGGACGTTATGACAAGTTCTGCCCGCTGTGAGGTTTATACATGTGTATAAAGTGGTGCAGTGACGCTTCCTAAAACCAGGAAGTAAGCTGCTGGTTCCCTCGACAAAAAAGCAATGGGATTTCTCCACAGGGTTTTGGAAAATAGCTGGAAATAAGGTCTGTGGAAAACGCACCTGTTAGATAAATGCACGTTTTGTTCAGCCGGATAATGTCTACCCTACTTTTATTATTTTCGAATCAAATCTAATCGATAGATTTATGATCGAAAGATTTATGAAGACTGTAAACCGTGATCGTTTTTCTCGCGTCCAGGAGAGAAGCTTAAAAAGGAGAGAAGCTTAAAAAGGAGACTAAATGGAGTCTCTGAGAAGGTTCAAAATTGATACTTTAATTAATAAAAAGTGCGGTAATGTTACAAACAAGATATTGTTCAGTCAGGAGAGAAAGGCTGCAGCTTCCTCTCCCAGGTGGAGTAGCATGAAGCTGCAGCGTCGGAGACGACACTTGTAGAACCACACACACAGGTCCCGCGTCACGAGCACACACACAGGTCCCGCGTCACGGCGGCACGTGACGGAGCACGTTCACATGAATGTGAACGTCAACGCAGAGAATGTGAGTAATGTGAAGTGCTTTTACAGTTTTATTTGTTTAACATTAATAACAATTCCGGTGTCTTGAAATGAAGTGTGATTAGCCAACATGAACTATGATAGTGTTAAGGCAATACAAACAAACATCTGTTTGCTTATGATAGCTTCTAACCGTATTAAAGTCTCTAAAAACAACTATTCATTAGCTATAGCTTTCGGCAAAAGCATTAGCAAAAGCATTAGCTATGTTAGCATATTTGATCATTTGTTTAATGAAACTAGCGTGATTTTGGCAAGCCCAACTAGGTGTCATAGTTGATTAATTGAATCACTAATTACAGTAATAGTGTGAGTAATGTGAATCATGTTTTTTTTTTTTAAGTTAACAACTATTCTGTTGTATTGAACAGCCATACAAGCAACAAGTGCTAAATGTCATCTGTTAGCCTATGATGACTCGCTGCAAAACCAACTGTTAACCATTTTGTTTATTTGTTTAATGAAACTGTATGTTATGGTTATGTTATTTGACAGAGGCTTTTATCCAAAGTGACTCACAAAAAACATAAAATAACCATAATTAACATTAGAATTTCAATACAAATAGTTACATAGTCAAGTTACATTACTTATTACATTTTTAACAGGGTAATTACTCATCTGTAACCTACTACATTTAAAAAAGTAAACTTCCCAACCCTAATGATTAATTATAGTCAGCTAATTAATTAAACTTCAACGGATGACAAAAGCATGTCAATATGTCCACTACATTAAATCAGCAGTAGCCTAAGTTCTGTCTTCAGTGTAAATGCTTCTTTAATAGTCATTGTATTACAATTTGAATTCATTGTAAATAATCTTCACTGTGCTGACTGCCTGTTTACCGTTTATCAGACAGTGTCATCATTTTGACATGTTTTGTAATATTGCATGAGGTGTTTTAGTCAGTTATGTCGGCCTATTATGTAGGTTAGAATCTGTCGTGTCAGAATCTAACAATTAAGCCTAATTTATGTCTGTCTGTGAAATTGTTTCAAAATGTTCAGTTTGACCAATTAGGCTCTCTCTTTTTCAAGATGCATATTACAATCCGAGAGGGGAGATCCTTGCCGGACCTTCAACGGTGCACGACGTGTTGCAATGACTTCCACTGCCCGTTCTGTGTCTCTCGTTTATTCTCTCCAACAAAACACTGCAAGGTGAAAAGCCATCTCGAGAGCCACTTCCAGCGTGCAGTTCTCCATGAAGGTAAAGTTAGCTTACATTCTCTTGTGAAATGCAAATGGAGTTGCAATGTGTCTGCATTAAAAGCAGCCTAAATGTTATGATCAGTTCCATTTGAGCAATACATCAAAACAAGTCCTATGATTTGTTTGTGGTGACCAGTTACTTGATCCAGATGTTTGGTATTCATAATTTACACTTTTAAATAATATGATCACAAAATAATAATACTACAATTCTATGTTCTTATGTTTAAGGGTATACCATTCACAGATGTGGATTAAATTGCCGACCAGACTATCATTTTCACTGCTGCTACTGCCAACCCATGCATACTCGCAAATCTGGCTTTGTAAAGCACCTCGCTTTGTGCAAGGCAAAGCACTCTGCCATAACCCCCATCATCCCAGATCCAGCAATCCCCATCATCCCAGATCCATCAACGCCCGTCATCCCAGATCCAGCAATCCCCATCATCCCAGTGCGAAAGATGCAAAGGGTCCGTGTAGAGCCTGTACTCAAGAAAAAATGTCCCATATGCCATGTTCTCATGAATAATTTTTTTTTGAAAAGGCACATGGAAAGAAAGCACTCTGCCAAACAAAAGGACATAACCGCAAGTTCACACCTACCGAGTGAATGCATAGATCCTGAACATGGAGTCTATGCTGTCCACAAAGACTTCCATGGAACAAGTATTCCTCTGCATGTTCAGAATAAAGTGTGGGGAGAAAATCAGCATGTGTCTTGTGAAAATAATGAGTGCCAGGTGAACCTGGAGTTGGCATGGAGGAGTGGAATTAAAGCCTATCAATGTACACATTTAAAATCCATAACCTACTGTTCATCCTATGCCTCCCCTATTGAGCTTGATGAAGATATTCTAACGGAGATGGTGAACAACAAATGGTTTGGTGAAGATAAAAAGAGCCTCTGCCTCGTTCGGCAAAACCTTGCCAAATGTAACCACGTCCCTTTATCTGTGTACTCGAAAACTGGAACCCCGAAGACAACAAAATATGTATCCTCCATTTGCTGGAGGGAACCCTTCAGCCAATATTCAGAGTGCCACGACCAGAGAGGGAACAGCAGACCCCGCCTCACCCCCAGTGAAGAATCAGCAGACCCCACCTCACCCCCAGTGAAGAATCAGCAGACCCCGCAATAAAAATAAATAAAAATGTATTCTGAACTGAAATGCCTCTCGGTCAAACTGCTTGTTTATCTTTTGCAGGCTGGTGCATGAACACACTAACAGTTGTTTTTCAGTAATCTAGCACCTCTTCGAAGACACCTTTGATTTATTAATAATAATAATGAAACGAGAATTATGATACTGTAGAAGGAACAGTGTTTAACAGTGTTGTTTTCTTTTGAATAATAATGAAACGAGAATTATAAACATACCCAAAACTAAATTAACAGTGTTGTTTAATATACATATAAAAGACTATATTTTTGAAATTCATTTTTGAAATTCTCAACTAAATTAACAGAATATACATATAAACATTCATGTGAACGTGCAACAGAATATGGTTCCCGTCACGTGACGCGGGTCACGTGGGACCCCGTGACGCGGGACCTGTGTGTGTGTGGTTCCCGTCACGTGACGCGGGACCTGTGTGTGTGCTCGTGACGCGGGACCTGTGTGTGTGGTTCTACAAGTGTCGTCTCCGACGCTGCAGCTTCATACTATTGCCCAGGTGCCGGCCGTGCAGAAGAGAGACCACAAGCCTTCGTCTTTCCCGCTTGCTGCTGTTCGCTCCTCCTCTCTGTGAGCTGTAGTGACGTAAGGGACTTCCCCCCTCGTTCTTCTGTGCCCGATATCACGTTAAACAGAGGATTTCGACATTTTACATTCATTGCTTACTTCCACATGCCTTTTCTCCTCCTTATCTCTTTCATAACTTTATATGTAATACATGTTAACGGCGTCAATAGCCACTTTAATGATACTAATGGACGGTAGTCCCGGATGTCGTCATGAAGGATTTTCAGAATAAAAGCTTGGTATTGAGAACTTCCGTTTTTTTCCAGAATAAAATAGCATTTAAACTGACGGTATGTTTAAGGTACATTATGCCATAAAACATTGATTTGAATTTCTAACAAGACCTATTGTAATCCTAGTTTTTTTAATTTATTTTCTCTTTGATTTATTTGCATTGCATTTCATATTGAGCTAATCCAGCGCTGCAAAACATGGCAACATTAAGCCAGTCCCACACTGCTGCACGGGCACATGAACACTCTCTGGAGAAGCAAATACAATTTAAATGTAAAACAATACTTTACAAATAAATGGCTGCATGACATGAGCATGATGAGGACACAGACTTTGTTTTAAAGGGTGACAGAGCTCCTTGATGGCAAAACTTGATATGAAAAACAGACTTAGAAGGACCACCTACAGATTTTGGAATAAAGTGCACCAAGTTCAGGCCTGTTTAGGGTTTACTGAGGACTGACAAAAGTACAGAGTCCCTAAAGGTTCATGGAGAGGAAAAAAAGTATCTTGTGCGCACGATATACTTATATTATATAAGTATATTATATATATATGAGAAAGTATATTTCGTGCGAACGAGAAAGTATATCTCGTGTGAACGAGAAAGTATATCGTGCGCACAAATTAATAAAGCGTGGCCTCGTTTTATGTAAATTGAGGCCACGAATTACATCTCGTGCGCACAAGTTAATAAAGCGTGGCCTCGTTTTATTTATTTTTCTTTCTATGAACCCTCCAGGGCTCTGTACAAAAGGTATAGCAAAGGAAATTATTCATCACACACAGTAAGTGTAATAAGTCCATGAAAGGCAATGAACATGAAAACATATACAGTGGGGCAAACAAGTATTTAGTCAGCCACCAATTGTGCAAGTTCTCCCATTTAAAAAGATGAGAGAGGCCTGTAATTTTCATCCTAGGTACACTTCAACTATGAAAGACAGAATGGGGGGAAATAATCCAGAAAATCACATTGTCTGATTTTTAAAGAATGTATTTGAAAATGATAGTGGAAAATAAGTATTTGGTCAATAACAAAAGTTCATCTCAATACTTTGTTATATACCCTTTGTTGGCAATGACAGAGGTCAAACGTTTTCTGTAAGTCTTCACAAGGTTTTCACACACTGTTGCTGGTATTTTGGCCCATTCCTCCATGCAGATCTCCTCTAGAGCAGTGATGTTTTGGGGCTGTCGCTGGGCAACACGGACTTTCAACTCCCTCCAAAGATTTTCTATGGGGTTGAGATCTGGAGACTGGCTAGGCCACTCCAGGACCTTGAAATGCTTCTTACGAAGCCACTCCTTCGTTGCCCGGGCGGTGTGTTTGGGATCATTGTCATGCTGAAAGACCCAGCCACGTTTCATCTTCAATGCCCTTGCTGATGGAAGGAGGTTGTCACTCAAAATCTCACGATACATGGCCCCATTCTTTCTTTCCTTTACACGGATCAGTCGTCCTGGTCCCTTTGCAGAAAAACAGCCCCAAAGCATGATGTTTCCACCCCCATGTTTCACAGTAGGTATGGTGTTCTTTGGATGCAACTCAGCATTCTTTCTCCTCCAAACACGTCTAGTTGAGTTTTTACCAAAAAGTTCTATTTTGGTTTCATCTGACCATATGACATTCTCCCAATCCTCTTCTGGATCATGTAAATGCTCTCTAGCAAACTTCAGACGGGCCTGGACATGTACTGGCTTAAGCAGGGGGACACGTCTGGCACTGCAGGATTTGAGTCCCTGGCGGGGTGGTATGTTACTGATGGTAGCCTTTGTTACTTTGGTCCCAGCTCTCTGCAGGTCATTGACTAGGTCCCCCCGTGTGGTTCTGGGATTTTTGCTCACCGTTCTTGTGATCGTTTTGACCCCACGGGGTGAGATCTTGCGTGGAGCCCCAGATCGAGGGAGATTATCAGTGGTCTTGTATGTCTTCCATTTTCTAATAATTGCTCCCACAGTTGAGTTCTTCACACCAAGCTGCTTACCTATTGCAGATTCAGTCTTCCCAGCCTGGTGCAGGTCTACAATTTTGTTTGTGGTGTCCTTTGACAGCTCTTTGGTCTTGGCCATAGTGGAGTTTGGAGTGTGACTGTTTGAGGTTGTGGACAGGTGTCTTTTATACTGATAACGAGTTCAAACAGGTGCCATTAATACAGTTAACAAGTGGAGGACAGAGGAGGCTCTTAAAGAAGAAGTTACAGGTCTGTGAGAGCCAGAAATCTTGTTTGTTTGTAGGTGACCAAATACTTATTTTACCGAGGAATTTACCAATTAATTCATTAAAAATCCTACAATGTGATTTCCTGGATTCTTTCCCCCATTCTGTCTCTCATAGTTGAAGTGTACCTAGGATGAAAATTACAGGCCTCTCTCATCTTTTTAAGTGGGAGAACTTGCACAATTGGTGGCTGACTAAATACTTTTTTGCCCCACTGTATAAGGTTGAAGGAAACGAACATCAAGCTCAGAGTTTGGCGGCTCACACAGCAGTGCGACTGGCTGTTCCTGGATCAGCCTGGCATTCAGAGCCTGGACCTGTTCAACTGTAAACAACACAGCAGGGGAATCAGAGTCAACATTTGTGAAAGCATGTCCATACTTGGAGTTTTTCCCCTCAGTACCTGCACACATTTGTCACACTCGCTCACTCACACACACACACACACACACACACACACACACACACACAACACACACACACACACACACACACACACACACACACACACACACACACACACACACACACACACACACACACACACACACACACACACACACACACACACACACACACACACACACACACACCTGCATGCCAATGCAGGGTTTATCTGTAAAGCGTTTTTTCAGGCGCTGGGTCTGTTTTGGTGTCTGAGCATTTGGCCTTATTTCAGACACTTTGTGTTTTTCACAGATCTCTAAAGAGGCTCTGTACGGCAGTCACAGTCCAGTCCACACCCTGTCAGCGTCCAGCCGCAACCCCCTGCACAGCCTGCAGGGCTCCATGTCCCCCCCCATGGTCCGCTCCATGCCCTCCTCTCCCTCCAGGAGGCCGTATGGTGGGAGCACAGGGAGTAGGACTGGGATGGTGGATCCAGGAAGCAGCATGTTACCAGGGGGGGGGCGATCCAGCTCCCTGAGCTCCAGCAGCAGTGCCATCCTGGAGAGGAGAGACGTGAAGCCTGGTAAGAGACCTGCCGCTCACCATCCATCAATGACCAGTGTCTGATGACAAAACCAGTGTGCATGTTTCTACTCTACCTTGACTAAAGAAACACATGGGCTTTCTGCCTCTGAACTCTTAACAATCCGTACAATACACAGCACTCTATCCTGAGACCGAAAGATTGCTTACATTAAAGTGACAATAGACAACTTTTTTTTTACTTTAACTTATTATTATTATTATTAGGTAAATGGTGCACAAAGTAAAAGTAGTCATTGTGCAGATTGGTCCATTTCAGAATAATATATATGATATGTTTTATAATGATTGATCATGAAAGTGTTCTCAAAGCTGGTGAAGGTGCAGCTAGTTTGAATGACTTTGTATACTGCAGGGTAGCTTGAGGATTTACTCCAGGTGGAACTAAAGTCTGATTCAACACTTGATTATATTTCACATCATTCATCCACATCTGTGAAGTAACTAAAGGTATTAAATACATGTAGTGGAGTAGAAGTACAGGATTAACCTCTGAACTGTAGAAGTACAAAGTAGAACAAAATTGAAATACTCAAGTAAAGTACACGTCTCTCAAATGTTACTTAATTACAGTAGTACTTACATTTGTAGATGTACTTTACACCACTGGCTATCTACAAGTAGTGTGACAAAAATAGCAACTACGGAACTGTACCCGGAGGGAGGGCCCTGTCAAGGTTACATTCATCTTCTTGTTCATTGGAAAAACATCAGGCAGAAACTATGATACCAACGTCTCTGTTGCACAGTTAATTTGAAAACACTTGCAGTGTGTTGTTGATGAGCTAGTGTGGTTTTTTAAACAATAATGAATGATAGGTAATATTAACATAATATTAGTTACCCCAATGGGGCACCAACTTTCATCAATTAAGTCTCATAAGGAACACTAGACTACAACTATATTTGTTCTAAAAACATTGTATTTATGTTTTATGAACTCCAGTTGCTCTGTTTGTTAGCAGGCAAGCGGTTAGCTATTTGCTAACTTGTTAATGTAGTTCATTCAGGCATCTGTTGCTCTTGCGTCTTTGCCGTTAAAGGTAGTGTTCAATTATTATCCAGTGGCTCAATTGACATAAAGCTAATTCCCAACAGTGTTTAATGTGTATGGTAGCCCTGAGTTACACAGACTTCTTTACGTCTTTACGAGAGAAGCACCAACAATAACACCACTTGGAAACACATCAAATAATTTTGGAGTGTAAACTGGTTTAGCATCTCCCAGGTGGTGCATCGGTCGGCATCTGATGGTCGCTGATTCACAACATGACTGTGACAGATTTGAGACATTGGTACACCACCTATGTTGTGAGAATGGATGAACCCATCCCAGTGTTTCAGAGACTATGTAGTGCGGCGAGGATCGCACATACAAAAGTGTCATCAGTCATGTGTTTTGGCTTCCGCTGTAGCACAAAAACTCCAACCTCTGCTCAATTTCTGGGTACGTAGGGTTAAGGCTTCAACAAATTCACAGGAAGTCTAGAGCAACTTGGGTTTGAAGTTATACATGGGGAAGGTATTCCATTACTCTTTAAAAAGAGAGGTAAAAAAGAGGCAGAACAAGCATCTGTTCTGAAATTCATCTGGTGTGTGTGTGTGTGTGTGTGTGTGTGTGTGTGTGTGTGTGTGTGTGTGTGTGTGTGTGTGTGTGTGTGTGTGTGTGTGTGTGTGTGTGTGTGTGTGTGTGTGTGTGTGTGTGTGTGTGTGTGTGTGTGTGTGTGTGTGTGTGTGTGTGTGTGTGTGTGTGTGTGTGTGTGTGTGTGTGTGTGTGTGTGTGTGTGTGTGTGTGTGTGTGTCAGATGAGGACGTTGGCAGCAGTAAGGCCCTGGTGGTGCGTGGTGAAGGAGGACCACATTTCCCAGACTCCTATTGCTCCTCCCTGCAGGATGGAGGGGGAGGGGGTCGCTTCAGCTCCTCCCAGTGTAGTGCTCCCCCCTCTCTGCCTGCAGACATGGTGGATGCGGGGATCCCAGGGGGGCTGCAGCAGTACCGGGCCTCCGTCAAACCCCTGCTGATGGGCCACGGAGACAGCCTGCAGACCTGCTCCCTGCACAGGTACACACTGATCCAGCAAACTGTGGGGGGGGGGGGGGGTCCTTTGTCTCTTGCATGGTTTGAGACAGAGGTTATGAGCCCGATTCAGTCTGCCACCAGAAACTATCCTGTTCATATAAATGAAGGATTCAGAAGGATGTTAATGATCTTCCCGAAGCTACCAAAAAATAATAAGGTGTGTGTCAGGCAAGACCACGGCAACAGGCACAGCCACTACTCATAATAATAATAATACATTTTATTTTCAAGCGCTTTATCAGGTTTATCAGACACTTACACTTTAAAGTGGTACAAATAAATAACATAAAAAAAGATAAAAAGTTGAATAAAAAATCGGACTAATAAAACAACATTTAGAAAAATAACACAACATTAATCACACAAGCCAGAAAGGTGTGTTTTGGTCAGTGTCTTAATGGTGGGGAGGTCAGTGCAGTCTCTGATGTGTTGTGGGAGTGAGTTCCAGGGGGGGGGGAGAAGGCTCTGTCCCCCTAGGTTCGGTGCTTGGTGTAACCTTTAATACTGACAACCTGCCAATTGAGAGACACACACTGATGGTGCCACAGATGCTGACTTATTAACATCAAGACATGGGACACGTTGTGAATCGCGCTGAGCTCCGTGGAGGTGTGGTTTCCACAGCCAAACTCATCCTGAGAACACACAAAGTCACAGCTGAAGTAAAAACAATAAGTGTGGCTTGATATTGAGTAAGAAAAAGGTTGATAAACGCTGTGAGAATGGGTCTGCAGAGAGAATTTCGCCGCGATCCCAACTGTCTGTTATCAGCCTGCAGCCAGGGAGGAGAAATCAGCAGAGCTGCCGCACTGAGTGTGTGAGGAAGTCCGTGGATTGGTCAATTTGGACCAATCAGCGGGGGCTTAACGTAACGGCTCCGCGGACGTAACGTAACGGCTCCACGGACTGGTCCATTTCGTTTCGGAAGAATCAAATGGACAGTGACGTATCTCCAACGAGGCGTTTTGGGAGGTATTTTCTGTGTTAGAGTTTTACTCGCTACAGGGTGTACTTTGAGGGTTTTGACTCTGCACACTGTTTACATGCATAAAAACCTTCATAACACACAAGGGGATGGGTAATAACCGGAAAAGCATGACATGTCTCCTTTAAAGAGCAACTTGCAGGTTAGACACACCAGTGAATAAATGTGTAGGAAAATTATTAATACACTAGATTTTCAAAAAAATATACAGAAATATACACTACAGTGACATCTGGCGTTGTTTTTGTAAGACATTTTTACTTCCGCATGAAAAAAGCCTCCCCACGTGACCTCCCGCGTGTGACGTAACATGGGGGAGAGCGGCCGGTCTAACGTATGAATAAACATGGATCACAATGCTAGTTTTGTCACAGAAGAGGTTGGAAATATATATTCGAATGCATATGATTATAATTCAACCCAGTCTCACAGCATTTCGTGTTCACCAACACGATTTTTAATCTATTGAAGATCACGTGACATAGACGCCAGCCATTGGAATGAATGGTAAAAACAGAGCACATGGTGTAGTCCAAACGATAGCTGGGGATTCTGGGTAGTGTAGTGTCTTCTGCCATCCTTTACTCCGAAAAAATATTTGTTTCTCCGAATCGAAGGGGAAAAATACAAAAGTATTGCACACAATTTAAACCAATCAATGTTGTGTAATTAACAAGGATAATCTGGTGTTTTTTAGTCGATGAGTAGTGCAGATATCACTGTAAAATCAATCGACAGTAAGAGGAATACTTACTTCCGGGTGTACAATTCTCCGTTATCCAATGAGAATGGACGCTCACATTGCCTTTAAGGGCAGCCGACACAAACGAATGCCGTGCTTCCATGAGCGTCATTACCAGTAGAAATACATTGCTTTTAAGATCGTGCTGTGCAACACGAAAAAAAGGGGAAAATCGTGTTGGTGAACACGAATCAATAGATTAAAAATCGTGTTGGTGAACACGAAATGCCATGAGACTGGGTTGTATAATTATGAGCCTGCTATGTGTCCAATAGACCAGGAGCAGCCAAGGATTAGAAGAAATAACGGCCATCGGAGAGAAATGGAGCTGTGGTGCGAGGAGAACCAGTGGAGAACAGAGCAGCTGTCTTGGTGAGTGACCGGCGTTATCTAGAGTTAATGTTAGCTAACGTCAGTCACACCACAACATTGTAAAGTGAGCTATCATATATCAGGCTATAACTAAAGTAGTATTGATAATATAGATACGTTACTGGCAGGACTGTTGATACTGATCCATAACAGAAACTAATGCGCAAGTATCAGCCGTATCTCGCGTTACCTAATGCAACTCCACACTACGTCTACGGTGCTGTGTACCGGAGGGGAGAGAGAGAGGAGCGAAGGGGAGAGAGAAAAGACATAGGGAGTAGTCATTTCTTTACAGCAGACTTATGAATTAGTTAAAACAAAATCAGGCCTATCGGGCTTTACATAGTGAGTCCACTTCTCACAGCTTGTAGTACATTTCTCCAATTTATGATTGACAAATGCTGTCATCTTTTCAATACTGTAAATATTCATTGAGATGTCCGTCCTTCCATTTAGAGTCGGGCTATCCTTCGATAACCATTTCCTGGTTAATGCCTTTTTAGTGGCAACCAGAATGTTCAATAAGTATTTGCCTTTTCTCAACCATGTCTGTGGCAAATTCCCACAGTATAAAATCTTGATCTCTAGATGTATTATGTCTTTTAAAATGTCTTGTAAGGCATTGTGTATGTCCTTCCAGTAGTCTTTGATAACTGGACAGTCCCAGAATACATGGGGTCCTTCTCACTTCGGTTAAATGGATTCCTTGCGTCCCTCACTTGCGTCGTTTCCCTGCCTCTAGTCCCTCCCACCAGGGAAGCATGGAGGGACGCAAGGAAACCACGAGAAGCAGGAAATGAGTTTTAAGAGCAATGGAACGTCCTTTCCTCCGGAGCGTCACGTGAAGCCACGTCCGTTTGTGATGACGCTGCACAGCTGATCGTCTGACAGCAGCTCTGTCCCCGTTATTTCCACACACACCCGCCTCTGTTAGTACACATTTACTGACACAAACATTTGTATCATCTGTTGTAGACCCAAATAAATAAAATAAAATAAGAACTCATTCTCAAAAAAGATAAACGCCATTCTTAAAATGTATAAACGAATAATAGTTGGATTAATATTGATTAGAGTGCACAATAGAAATAAAATAATTGAGAGAAGAAAAAGAGATATGTTATCTATCAAAACCCAGTTAGATTAACATTCATTGGATTGCACACTTTGTTTGTTTGTGTGGATATGTAGCACATTAACATTTTTTATTTAAAAAAGAAAAATATTTTATTTATAGTTTTCAGGTTTATGTAACAGTTAAACATGACAACAACAAAAAAAACAAAACATGTAGCATAAAAACGCAAAGCATCCCCCCTCCCCCCAAAATAACAAAACAAAGACAAACAAAAACAAACAAAAGTCAGTGCCTAAATCAAAACACAACGAGATACTACACATACACAGTGTTACTGTATATCCAGAGGCCTGTTGGCTAACCAGATGATATACCTATGGTGGCGTCAGTGATGCATCTATACATTCTAAATAAGGCTGCCAGATCCTCAGAAAGGTGTTATATCCTTTTCTAAGACTATATGTGATCTTTTCAAGAGGAATACAACTGTTCATTTCTGAAAACCATCTATCAATGAGGAGAGGAGAGTCAGATTTCCATGTTAGTGTTATGCATTTCCTAGCCACACATAAAGCAATTTCCATACATTTAATTTGGGATTTAGTTAAAGATCTATTGAGACTTGTGAAATCACCCAGTAAGCAAAGCTCAGGATCTAAAGGGAAGGTAGATCCTGTGATCTTGGTTAAGGTGTCACACAAGTCGTACCAAAAGCACCTCACTTTTGTGCAAAGCCAGGTACAGTGTAGGAAGGAGCCGACCTCGTTACCACACCTGAAGCACATCTCTGACAGCTCGGGCTTGGATCTATGTAGTTTCTGTGGGGTGAGGTACAGTTGATGGAGGAAATTATAGTGAACCAGTCTGTACCTGGCATTAATAGTAGCTGACAAACTGTCTTTACATAAATCTGACCAGAGCTGTTCATCAATTGCTACATCCAGATCTGACTCCCATCTCGCTCTAGATTTGTGTAAACCTGGCTTTGGGCCCTCATTCAGCAGTAAAGAGTACATTTTAGAAATACCTTTGTATACATTTCCCTCATGAAGCAGTTTCTCCACATCAGTCAACACAGGTAAAGTTATCTCAGGGCCCAGGTTGGCTCCAAGAAAGGATCTTAACTGAAGATAGCAAAAGAAGGTCTTGTTGGACAAGTCATATTTCCTCTTTAATTGTTCAAAGGACATGAGGAGTCTTTTTTCGTAGCAATCTTCCAAATGTTGGATCCCCTTATGATGCCAAGTTTCCAGAATCTTGTTATTGAGAGTCATGGGTATGAGTTCATTTTGTCTCAGAGGTGACTTTGGTGACAGTCCAACTTTCAGTCCCAGACTTCTGTGAGTCTCACACCACATTGTAATCAAATGCCTTAAAATAGGGTTGTCTGTCTTCTTGGATATAGTCCTGGGGTTCCATTTATAAATAAAATCGCAGAACACTTTTTCTTTCAGGGGGTGCAATCCAATTTGTATCCAGGATGGGGCACCATCGCCCTCAAAAAAGTCTGAAACAAATCGCATTTGAGCCGCCAAATAATACTTTTTAAAACATGGTAATCGAAGGCCCCCTGATCTGTAATCCCACGTTAATTTCTCCATAGATACCCTGGCCACCTTACAGTTCCATATAAACTGTCTAACATGTTTATTGAGGGTTTTAAAAAAAGTTTGAGGCAGTTGAATGGGTAAGGACCGGAAAAGATACTGTAGCCTTGGTAGTATATTCATTTTTACACAGTTAACTCTGCCAATTAGAGTAATGGGTAAACTCATCCACCTTTGTAGATCACTTTCAATTATATT